AAGAGAGAAACACCTGGATTGTACCTTCAGCCCATGTTCTAGAATACAAACATGGAGAATAATGAACTTGACTCAAAGGCTGAAGGGCAGCTGAGCTCACATGAGGTCAACTGAACTGCAGCTACCTACAGACCTGAGAGTGAAATAAACATGTATAAGTCTCTAACATTTGGGGTTTGTTTATGTAGCATTTTTGTAGCAGAAACTTAAATAATACTGGGGGCTAAATATAGTGGACTAGTAACAGCACAGAATGGTAAAATGGAGTGATGGCTACTTACATCACAACTCTTCATCTCTGTTGATGGACACTAAAATCAAAGTGGCAGTTACTGAGAGTTGGGCGTCACTGAGTTGCATCATAGTTGTTTAGAATCATTGACACTTTGAGCTCTAAGTGATTACAGAGATGTTTCCCTCAGCTACAGGTAAATAAACAAAGGCACAGAGAAGTAAAGTGACTTCTAGAGGGCTTCATTGACATTTAGCAGCAGAATCCGAGCTACACAATGAGTCTGTCGTCCCCAGCCTTTCTATTCTTGTTTCCTAGGTTGGGATTTGGGGAAATAGTGCAGACAGATTAGCAGCAGTGACATGGAACAACGTGAGCCTCAGCTTCCATCCCTGAGGCTGCCTTCATTTTCCAGGGAAATGTCTCCGTGTACAGCCTTGCCCTCTGCACACAGTGTATATGGCCACCTGAATCCGTGTCCTTTCATAGCAACTAATGGATTAAAATGGATGCCAGAGCGGTGCTTCTAAAAGCTCCATGTATAAATCATGTAGGGTTCTTATTAAAAATGCATGCAGATTCTGATTCCGTAGGTCTAGGGTGGACTTGACGTTCTGCCCTTCTAACACACGGACCACACTTTGAGTAGCAATGTATTAGATCATTCCAGTGGAAACATGTATGAGTGACGGAATGGACAGATATAATTAATCCAGGTCAGGTAAGTGAGGTACTGATATGTGTTAAGTTGAAGTGAATTTCACATCAGAAATAATGGTTACACAGTGACTTTTACTGCCCCCAAATTCTTTCCTTCTGAGTGGTTTCAAAGTGAACCGAGCCTGCCAGGTTAACTCCCTGGTTTGTTGTGTGATTAGAAGATTTGATCCAGCTTTCTGCTTCTTCTAATTCTTTAAATATGCAATGGCCTTCTAGAAACTTGTCTCTCAGGCTCCCCATGAGCCTCCTGTCTTAATATCCTTTCCCCAGGACATTTCCTGGGTCAAGGAAGGAATCAGGGACTAGGAAAAGTGGAAAGTTTGCCTGACAGTGAGAAAGTTTTGGCACTCCTATTTGTTCAGTTCTAAAATGTGGGTATTGTTGGGGCTTCTAATTTGAATCTAACCTGAGATTCAGGCATTTCTAGCTATAAATGACCAAGTAGTAGGATGAGTTCACTAGAAGCTTATTTTCAGGAGAGCAGTCAGTTAAATTGAAGAAAAAACACGGGTTGGGGAGGTTACCTCATTAGTAAAAACAACGTTTTTTAATCAGAGGAGTGATTTGGAACACACTGTACATAGTTCAGTGTGTTTATCTTAGATTTATCTCTGGGTCAACTCTTGTTGGACCTGTATTAGAATCATTTAGTGAAGAAAAGGTGGGTGTCTTTAGGAAAAGAGCCATTTATTCAAATGTTCTGTTTGACATTAGGGCACTGGCAAGACTACAGTATCAATAGATATTCAAAAACAGGCCAGGCGTGGTGGCTCACGCCTGTAATCCTAGTACTTTGGGAGGCTGAGGCGGATAGATTGCCTGAGCTCAGGAGTTCAAGACCAGCCTGGGCAACACGGTGAAACCTTATCTCTACTAAAATACAAAACATTAGCCGGGCATGGCGGTGTGTGCCTGTAATCCCAGCTACTCCGGAGGCTGAGACAGGAGAATTGCTTGAACCTGGGAGGCAGAGGTTTCTGTGAGCTGAGATTGCACCATTGCACTCCAGCCTGAGTGACAGAGGGAGACTCCATCTCAAAAAAAACAAAAAACAAAAAACAAAAAACAAAAAAAAAAAAAAAAGAAGAAGAAAAAGAAAAAGAAAAAAAGAGTATAGTGAAAAAATGCCCTAAAAAATTCGAAAACCTAAATGAAAGAGGCCAATACACATCAAATAAACTGAAATGGCATTCTAGAGTCTCCTTTTCCTAAAAGCCCTAGATGGTGATAATTTTGTGGATGATTGTTATCAAACTTTCAAGGAACAGTTCATTTCTTCTATACACAAATTGTTCCAGAATAAAAAGAACAAAAGTTGCCCAACTTACTGTATGAGGTGAGTATAATTTTGATTACAGAACCAGAAAAAGATAATAGTAATAGACACTATAGTACCATTTCACTTATGATTTTGTCTAAAAAGTTCTAAATAAGGTGTTAATTCTTCAAATCTAACAATGTATTAAAAGTATTTTATAATCCTGTAGGATCTACAGGATTGGGTTGGCATTAGAAAATTGTTCTAATTTATTACATTAATAGATAAATGTAAAAAGCCATATGATTATCTCTATAGATGCAGAAAAAGCATTTGATAATATTAAACATCTATTTATGATGATATTTTTTTAAAAAATTGGGACTAGTAGGAAAGTATTTTTTTAACCTGTGAAAGGCTATATATATCACAAATGTGTATCAAGCATAAAACCTAATAGAGGAAATTTAAATTTATTCTCTTTAAGATCAGTAACAAGACAGAAATTCTTATTACTATATAATGTTATAGTGGATATCCTGGAAAATACTTTGGGACAAAAAGGACTGAGAGATATAAGCATTGGAAATAAAGATATAAAATTGTCATTATTTGCAGATTATGTTATCAGAACAAAGAAAGATTAATTAAAAACTATGAGAACTAATAAGAGTTCAGCAAGGTTGTTAGAAACAAGGTAACTTAGAAACACCAGCAACATTTCTCTCTGTCAGCGATAACCAACTAGAAAACGTGGTAAAGATATACTACTCATAATAGCAATAAATACCGCATATATCTAGGGATTAACAACCAAAAAGACACAAAACCTAAATGAACACATTAAAAAATCTTATGTCGATTTTCTGATATAAAAATGATATAGAAGAGCATCTGCACAAATGCAGATGTTGCAGGAGAACTGATTTCAGGACTGCCATGGATACCAAAATCTGAGGATGCTCAAGGCCCTTATATAAAGTGGCATAGTATTTACACATAACCTAAGCACATCCTCCTGTATATTTCAAATCTTCTCTAGATTATTTATAATACCTAATACAGCATAAATGCTATGTAAATAGTTGTTATATTGTATTGCTTAGGGAATAATGACAAGAATAAAAGCACACACTTGTGCAGTACAGATGCAGCCATTCCTTTTTTTTCCCAAATATTTTTCATCTACAGTTAGTTGAATCCACAGATGTGAAACCCATGAATACAGAGGGCCAACTGTAGTATCAAGTACTTATATTTCTCCCAAATTAATTAATTTGTAAGTTCAATATGATCCTACAGTTGAATTCTTTAAGAACTCAATAAACTTATTCTAAAGATCTCCAAAAAGCTAAGTCAATTTTGAAAAGAAAGAGTAAGTAGAGAGACATATTAATTAAGTCATTAAGTGGGGGACTGATAGCCTTAGGGCTTCAGAATATAGTTTATTTTTTGAAAACATTGTCCAAAATATTATTGTATTTAAATCTTGTGAATAGTTTAGAAATTCTATTGTTGCATTAAATGTATTTTATATTTTAAGTTTTTCAAATGTTTTATGCGATTTGCTTTGAAACGTCCTTAAGAATAGAGAAATCCTAAATTTTTAGGAATTATCTGAAGCCATAAAGGCCTTTATGTATTTTATATGTAAATAGACATATTGTTTTATGGATATTTGTTTTCTGGCCAGTATAATAGATAACTTTCGATTAAAGTTGGGAGTCTCAGGTTTATAAGGTGACCACTGTTTGTTTTGTTTGGAGAAAACCAAGAAGAAATTAGGTGATATACTAAAGAATTTCTCAGTTTGGATCTGCCTATCCTGATAGCTCTTCTCCTCTTTAGCCTAAATATCTTGTTTGCATAGAAAATTATCAAAACAATCAATATGTCAAACCAAACACTCTAGCAGTTTACTATAATACATTCATTGTGTTTTCTTTTTTTAACTTTACTTTGAAATAATAGTTACTGAAAAAGCTGAATGAATATATGAAAAGGAGTTTACATATACCATTCTCCCAGATTTCTCTAATCTTAAAAACTTTACCATAGTATAATGATTAAATCCAGGAAATTAATATTGGCACAATACTATTAATTTAACTACAGAATGTATTAGAATTTCACCAGTTTTTCCTCCTAATGTCCATTTTGTGTTTCAGGATCTAGTCAAGGATCCCATGGTTCCATTTGTGCATTTAGTTGTTACATCTCCTTAGTCTCCTGTGATCTGTGACTCTCGTCTGATTTGTCATTATGACCTTGACAATTTTGAAAGTATTGGTTAATTGTTTTATAGAATGTTTCTCAGAATAGGTTTGTCTGATGTTTTCCTTAGTTACATTAGAAGTCTGTTTTTGGTAAGAACACTGCAGAAGTCATGTGTCCTTATCAGTGTATCAGACTGGGGTCCAGCATGTCAACAAGTCCTATTACTGGTGACGTTAACCTTGATCACTTGGCTAAGGTAATGCTGCTGAGTTTCTTCACTCTACAGTTGTTATGTTTCCTTTTGTAATTTACAAATAGCGTGAGATATTTGGAGACTATGTTAATGTCCTGTATCTCCTCAAACTTTTGCCTACTGGTTTTGGAATTTATTGTTGGATGTTGCCTGTAATGATTATTACTGTGGTTGCTTAATGGTAATGTTGTATTTCCCTGATTCCTTCTTCATTTATTAATTGAAATTTTTCTGTAGGGAAGAGCCATTATTTCTCCCTCCATTTATTTATTTAACTATTTATTTATATCAGTATGGGCTCGTGGGTATTTCTTTCCTTCTATGGGTTCTATTACTCTCTTTTACTTTTAAAGTAGGAATAAAAGATTATAAGTTTAAAAAGTACCTGCAAGTACAAAAAAAGAGACACATTTCTTTCAGGAAATTGAGCTTAAGGTGCTAATTACGGAGTGCCACCATCAATAGCTAAAGGCACGTGGCAAAATTGCTGATTTCCCAGCCTATGTGATAGTTGTTAGTACCATGCTTGGGACCAACGAAGTAAAGGAACAAGAAACAGGTGCCATTTGGCAATAGTGCTATTGGTAGACACAAAGTCATCATGAAAGATGTTTATACAAACAGTAGAATTCCAAAGACTAATAAGTAAAAAAGCATTTCCTGTGAATTTATGAATAAACAGGTATTAGTATTACTCAGTTAATAACACCGATTGAAATTATTGAAAAGGAATGCTTGGAAGCACATCATTTATTTTGTAAAGAAGTACCAAATAAAACTCCTGCACGTGAAGTATTGAAAGTGATAAAATATTGAAACTCTGAAACTAATAAAATATTACAGCTCTGTTGGGATCTGTGTTCTGGTTGTGTGGCTGCAATAACAGAAAAGTGTAACATTGTATTTGTCAATAAAAGAAAGGAAACAGGTATAGATTTAAAGGATAATTGTACTCTAGAAGCACAATTTAAATGTATCAAACCATCCAGACTAGTGGCAAGGAAGATTTCATCAGGAAAAAAATGATACACACCCTGCCATTTGCTACCACTTATCTGTGTGAACAGAGTTTCTTATTGATGGTGGCATCCAAAGAATTTGAAGAGATAGATCATGGTTTAAAAGGCTTGAGTAGACATTTTAAGTGTACAATCTGTTTTAAAATAAATATCTCATATATAAATTCAATATTTAGTGCTTTTCATAATACTTTGTATTTTAATAAAAAAAAAATACATTTTCCCACAAAGCTTATATAGTCATTATAGAATCCCCTTGAGTTTGCCCCCATGTTGAAACAATGCAAAAAGTTGGGGAACATTGGCTTTCGAGTCTGGAACCCAGCCCTCTGGTCTTGAGAGCAGAGGTGAAGACCTCTGTTTGCGAATTTGTGAGTAACCTTGGACAGTCGCATCGAGTAGGAGAAAAAACGGATGCAATGATGTTAACCACTGTGGACTCTAGACCTTTCCTCAGTTTTCTAGTGGTAGAGAGAACCCCGGTGATGACTGAAATTTACCTTCCCTTTTATAGGTTGGTCACTGTGGGGGACTGAGTGAGCAGACTTAATTTGATTTAGGTAAATGAATGTGACATTTCTTACAGCTGACTGTAAAATGCAGTAACACTACACTGTCATGGTGGCATGAGAAGAAGTGCAGGTGGATTGCAGGGCACCAGGAAGTCAAGTGCTCTGGTGACAATGGTGATTTTACAGATGATGGAGCCAGCTGGCTTCTTTGGACAGGTATGAAGACCATGCAGGAGAGAAAGATAAATTGAAACTGTGAATATCTCATTGAGAACAAAGTGGACAATCAGCAAGACTTCATGGCAGAAGGAATCCCTCATTTCTTGCAGTTCCAGGGAAGAAATAAATGAAAATGGAGCTTAGTACTTCCTGCTTAAGTGCTACAGTTGTGCAGGATCAATTAATCACTTAACCTGCCAGGTTTGTTATGCCGAAGTCAGGGCGCTGATGGGGAAGGAGTCGACTCTGAGACACCACATGGGGACATTTGATCAGACATATATATATGAGTTGAGAACTTTGAACCTTCATATGTCCTTGAGGCTCCATTGACAACTGAGGTAGACAATCACTGTCCTTTCCCACTGCATGTGAAGCATTTCAGTGTCTGCACCTGAGCCAAGTTGCCTCACAGGCTAATGCGAGTTCTCCTCATGACCCCTGTAGAGCCCTGACAGGGAATTTGCAAGGCTACTGTGAAAGCAAATGGCCTAAACTCCAAAATGTTAAAGAAACTTGTCAACTGGGTGTTGTTCACGGAAATATATTGTAAATGTGTTCAACCAAGATTGGACTGAATTTGTCAATAAGGGTGGGCCCATCTAGGATTTGGGATGCAATGAACTGATTTGAACACCTGGAGGTGATGTTAGTTTATTGTCTGCTAGGTTAACTAATGGAAGCTTAGATGTGGTGGTGGTTTACAATAAGTAAGGCTGAAATACTATCATTTCTTTGACATAATGTAATGATCCTTAAAGTTGGAGCTTTAAAAAACACTGATGCTTGAGTGACTCCCTGGAGATTCTTATTTAAGTGGTTTGTGTTGCCATGTGGGCAGAGGGATTTAAAGAATCCTCAGGTGATTTTCACATGTTGCTAAGGTTGAGTGATTTCTGTACAGGAAACTCAGGGATGAGGATGCTGGAGTACATCTATTATGTACAATCCACACAGCTGTCCATTAATCACACACCTCAGGATGACCATAGAAATGTATTGGCAAGGGGCACACTGGCATCCAGGAGAGCTCACTGGACTTCCCTCTCTAGGCTGGAGGTGATGGTGTGGGTGCTGCAGCAGGTTTGCAGCTCTGATGGGAATGAACAGGATTGCAGAGTGGAAGAGGCCAGATGGTGGCACCTCTCATCAAAAGCAAGGTGAGTGAAATGATCACAGTTAACCACAGGGGCAGGATACTAACTAGAGTATTTGAACTTCAGGATCCTGTGGCAATGACAAATTCATCTCAGGGTCTGTAGAAATGAAATACATGGAAAAGCTTCTAAGGTGCTGCCTAACACATATGGGAGGAAGGTTTTTAGGTCTGGTGTACAGAAAAAAACTCAAATTGCTGTAGTGGAAATGAACGGCTTTTAACCCAATTTCCAGGTCTAAGGAAGATCGAAGCCCTGGATTCCTAAGATGAAGGTCAGGTCCGTTTGAGGGGGAGCTTTGCGTAGTGGCATGTTATGGTCTGAATCGTGTCCCCTCTTAATTCATACGTTGATGCCCTAACCCCCAATGTGACTACTTGGAAATAGGGCCTTTCAAGGGGTAATTAAGGTAAAATGAGGTTATAAGAGTGGATCCCTAATCCAATATGACTTCATAATGCGAGGAAGAGACGCCAGGGATGCACACAGGATCATGTGACAACAGAGAGAAGGTGGCCACCTGTGAGCCAAGGAGAGAGCCCTTAGGAGATACCAAACCTGTCGACACCTTGATCTTGGACTTCCAGCCTCCAGAACAGTGAGGAATGAAGTTCTGTTCTTTAAGCCACCCAGCCTGTGACATTTTGTTATGGCAGCCTGGGCAGACTAATACATGGTGACTGGAATATAGTAAGAATCTTTCCCCAAGCCTTCCTCAGACATACCATTTATCAGGGCTGGGAGAGCAAAATAGTATCTGAGGGTTTCAGATACTGCTTCTGTATTGATGGAAATCTCCAGGGGCAAAAAAATGCCACAATGGTCCATCAATTACAGCAAAGGATTATAAAGCAGAGGAGACAGATAGATTTTGCCTGAAGAGGCAGCCTGAGATTATTTCTTTGGGCGCAAAAGGTACAGTGCAACAAGATAAATTTAGTGACCGGCAGCATGTCCACACTGGGTTCCTTCTTATAAAGTGAAAGTTATGGAGAGAGGGTCAAGGGGAAGCCCGTAGAGTTTCTCCTGACCCTCTGCCAAGATGATAAACCAGAAACCCAAAGTAAAACTCCATCCCTGGGGGAGTGACTAGAGTTAGTGTCACCATCACAGACTTGAAAGATATTAGGGTATTAATTTCATATCTCCACTTAATTTGCCTTTTTGCTGCTACAGATACTACATAGGTTGTGGAGAATGCCAGTAAATCATTACAATTTTTTTCATTTTTTTTTTGTTATTTTATTTTATTTTAGATTCAAGGAGCACACGTGCAGGTTTGTTACCTGGGCCTATTGCATAATGGTGAGGCATGGCTTCTGGTGTATCCATCACCCACACAGTGAACATTGTACCCCGTAGGTGATTTTTCAGTTTTTGCCCTTCTCCCACCCCACTCCACTGTGGAATTGTCAGTGTCTGTTATTTTCATCTTTATGTCCATAATGTACCCATTGTTTAGCTCCCATTTATAAATGAGAGCATGCAGTGTTTGATTTTATATAGAAGGGCAGAAAGGGATCACATTACTGGCTGGGCTGATTGATCCTAATTGCTCAGGGGGAAATTGGATTGCTGCTACTCAATAGAGGTAAATAGGACGATGTCTGGAGCCCAGGAGTTCCCCCGGAGCATGTCTTGTTACTCCAGGGAATCTCTTGCTTCTTTTATGTCTGGTAGTTTCAGTCAATGGAAAATTGAAGCACCCAATAAAGAAGAGCACTGAGGACCTGGATTGCACAGAAATGGAGGCTTGACTCAACTGTAAAGTGAAGAACAGCATCCAGCAGAGGTGCTGGCAGAGGGTGAGGGGAACATGGGATGGGTGGTAGAACAAGGCAGCTGTGATTACCAAACTTGGCTTTGGTGAGTAACTATAGAAATCAAGGAGTCTTGATGTTCTATTTAACTGTTTCCTCCCTATCCCTGCCTTTTTCTCTAACCACCTTACATGAGTAACACTGGGAGTGGCTTTTAAAAGTTTCAGATAGGAGTATGATTACATTGACCTAATGTGATGATTCAGGATTTCACCTGTGAGAGGGAACACAAATGTCTTACCCCAGAAAGAAGAATATGGACCTGAAGGGCAAGAGGCATGGACTATGCTGGATAATTTCCAGTTACCTTTCCAAATCCACTCTCCATGCTTCTCTCCTGGCTGTCTGCCCAGGAAGCTGACCTGCATCTGTGTGGGCTTCCTTGCCTTCTGGCTTCTGGTTGCCCTTGGCTTCTGAGTTTGGCCAAGCGGGAGTAGTGAAAGGAACGTGGAGAATGGGAAGTGTCATGTCAGGTTCAAATCGGCATACTTGTGCTAACTCGAATGGGAGTGGGGGTGAGGGAATGAGGTTTCACAGTGACTCAGTGGCCAATTAGTTGCTTACAAATTCATGGCTTATTGCAAGGCTTTCATATGCTAGCAATCATGCAAATATATTTTGCAGGGTGTCAGAGAGAGGTGGTTGTCGTTGCTCTTTTCCTGGTAGGGCTCCTGGTGGCGATGCCAGATAGAAAAGAGGACTGAGTTCTCATGAGCAGAGCTTCTACAGGCATCTCGCCATGGCCAGTTTCTTTGTCGTTTTTATGGCCCTGTGCAGGAGTGTCCGTAGTCATGATCTCAGCAGCTTTTGGCTTTGCTTTCTTTTTTCTTTTTTTTTTTGAGACGGAGTCTAGCTGTGTCGCCCAGGCTGGAGTGCAGTGGCCGGATCTCAGCTCACTGCAAGCTCCGCCTCCCGGGTGTACGCCATTCTCCTGGCTCAGCCTCCCGAGTAGCTGGGACTACAGGCGCCCGCCACCTCGCCCGGCTAGTTTTTTGTATTTTTTAGTAGAGACAGGGTTTCACCGTGTTAGCCAGGATGGTCTCGATCTCCTGACCTTGTGATCCGCCCGTCTCGGCCTCCCAAAGTGCTGGGATTACAGGCTTGAGCCACCGCGCCCGGCCTGGCTTTGCTTTCTTGTCCAGTCTTGGGAGTGCCTGACCACAGATAATGATATATAACATTATCCCCTCAGATGCATATGTTTATCACTTTGAGGGGTCAGCAATTTCACTGCAGGCTGAGTCACTTGTCACAGGTGACTCCATTTTAAAACATCTAGGATCACAAAACGTTATACATTATTTATATATTAGGAAGAAAATGAGGTCAGGGTATTTACAGTTAGGTGCTATGTCATGACATTTCAGTCTGCACAGGTGATGGTGGCTCCATAAGATTGTAACGCCATATTTTTACTATATTCTTTCTATGTTTAGATATGTTTAAATACACAAATCATTACTATTCTGTTACATTTGCCTAAAGTATTCAGTATAGTATCATGCTGCACAGGTTTGTACAGGAGCAATAGACTGTACAATATAGCCTAGGTGTGAAGTAGGCTGTGCCACCTAGATTTGCGTAAATTCACTCTATGATGTTTGCACTATGAAACGTCATTAAGCCATGCATGGCTGTATTCCCTGGTTCCTTTCCTATGGGGTCACTGCAGGCTATTTTTCTTGAGAAGGTCACAGCTCCTATTAGGTAGCCTTGTTCACAAAGTTCTCTCTCTCTCTGGGTTCTAATAACCTCCTCTTGTCCTTTCAGACCTAGGGATGGCCAGAGATATACCCCACTTTTAGTAGCCTGAGGTTCTGTACTATGCCTTGGGATTTCCCTGTACTCTACCCATATCTTTATAAATAACTCCTTCATTACATCTACCTCCAATTACCACATTTGAACGTGTCATCTGTTTTTTGTTAGGACCCCAATTGACACAGCATGGCTCCCAAGTTGGTCCAAACAGACTAGAAAGACTTTGATAGATGTCGGGGAGCCATTCCTTTTTTCTACAAGATGTGAATGACTGAGCACACAGTTCTGACTGACACGGGCAGCCCTCTTATGATCTTGGAGAAACCTGGCCTTAAGTTATGAATTAAATTTGAGGCCAGAGAGAATTTTTAAAAATGCTGGTCCTTGCTCACCTCATAGAATTATCAGGTCAGCAACTCTGATAATTAATAATTCTGGACTTCCAATTATGTAACCTAGTAAATATTTTTATTTTTTTAGCCACTTTGAATAGGATTTTTCAAGTTTTGAAGCTGAAAATAACTTAAATTGATAGACTCTCACAAGTATACATATGAGGTCAAGGTTAAACACATTAATATTTTTAATAACCCCTACAAAATTGCTTTCCAAAAAGTCTGCGGTGATTCACACAGACATTCATGTGGTGAGTGAATCTATTTTCTCACACTATGGCTTACCATCTTTTTAATTTGTGCCTTCCTGATGGGTGGAAACTGAATCTCAGTATTACTTTGATTTGCATCTTGCTAATTACCAGTGTGGTTTACTGTAATTACTTATATTTATTGGACATTTATATTTTCTACTCAGTGAAATACTTTTTACATCGATTGCTCATTTTCCTATGAAATCATTTGCACTTTTCCTGCTGCTTAGTAAGAATTATTTACAAACTATGGATATTAATTATTTGTTAGATGTGTTGCAGATATCTTATCTTGGGTAGTCTGTCTTTTAAAGTTCATTTCATGATGTGTTTTGTCCAAATTTCTAAAATTTGGGTGACATTCAATTTATCATCTTTTTTTTTTTTTTTTTTTTTCATGGATTTTGCACTTTGTGTGATTTGGGGCAAAGAAGGCTAAGGGTTCTCTGTCATTTGGTTCTTTGTCTAGGAGTTTTAAACTCTAGGCATTTAACCTAGACCCCTTCCTCAGGTCTGAGCATCAGTTAGGCAGAGAACCCGTCACCCCCAACTCATATCTGGAGATAAGTCCCGTAAAAGCCCTCCTTTGAGACCCTAGGTTCTTTTGTTCCCTTTTGTTTCCTTCCTGTAGTTGTTACTATCCAGGATACCACATCAATCCCTTAATCTTCTTTGGCCTTCCAACACATGTGTTTCTAGTTCCTTTTATTCAATTCCCTTTGTTTGCAATTCCTAGCATGGATTCTGCTTTCAGAGGGATCCCAATTGGAAACTCAGGCTTAAGGGATTTGGGGTGTCAAATGATGGGGATTTTGGATGCTGTTTTGTGATGAACATCCCAAGAAAGGAAATATGTTGACTGATGTGTAATGGAGGGGATCTTTAACAGGGCAGAGGAGACTCAAGTGACGTGGCATTGGCTCAGGTTGACTTCAAACATAAGTGCACTTGACATTACCATGCTCTCTCCTGGGGTCACAGAAACACTGGAAGCCATAAGGGATAGAATTGGGGCTATGGCAGGAAAGGATCGTGTTCTACCAAGGCCAAAAAGGAGATGAGGGTGAAAAGTAAGAGATATTGAGTCAGGAGACTGTTCGCAGGGCTGGGAAGAGGGGCTCATGGATGAGCTTATCTGGAAGTTCTGTCTCATTCTTTGTGCTTTTCTTCCTTACAGATGGGTAAACCTGAAGCTGTTAGTGCTTCAGGTCTGTCTCCTAAAACTCACTTCACTCTAGTAGTTAACTTGTATCTCAGTCAATGTTTAGGCTTGGCTACAGAAAATAGGATGGGGTATATAAACAAGATATAAAAATAACAATTACCACTGATCAGGAACCTAGAAATGTCCTGCATTAATAGGGCAGAGGGTGGGGGATAAGTTGGCATCTGGGGCACAGATTTGGGAGAAATCACTGCCCACCTCTTTACTTCCTTAGGCAGTTCTGGAGTCCACTGCATTTTGAGGGTGCCTGAGACCAGGACTGCCTCAGTTAAAAGACCAGTCTACATAGTCCCTGTGGCTCCCCATGTGGATGGAGCTGAAAGAGTGTTAGGTAGGGGAGCTCTACTGCCTGGCTCTCCATTCAGGTGTGGCCTTAGGTGGGGTAGTTGAGAAATGCCATAGGGACCTTGCCTGAGACGTGTGGCTAATTTGGCTCTTACAGGATGCCTTTAGCCTGACTGCAGAGGGCAAGGCTCCCGGTCCCAGGAGATGGAATCCCTGACATGAGAGTGCCTGGCATTTCCAGTTCTAGCTCCAGAATGACATGAAAGGAGAGCTGAACTCCAGGGAAGTCCCTTGGTTTCCTCTTTATGAGAAACCTAGGATCTGTCATCAACCTCATTTCCTTGTGGTTGATTTTGTGTGGGTTGGCTCAACACTTATTTCTCAGGGAGCCCGGATGGGTCATACTTGTGCTAATTCTGTGATTTCTTCCTCCGAGCCTCACAGGATCTTCTGGTAGGAGGAGCTGGTTTTCTTTCATGTCATACGTTTCTCATGTCCCACCCAGGAAGCTGGGGCCTCCCTCTCTGCTCATCCAGATAAATGATCCAGGCTCTGTTAGAGCCCATCACTGCCCTTGGAAGCTGCTGGAGCCACGTTTCGGTCCCCTGGACTGTAGATAAAGGCCCTTTCTTGCCAGGTATAGTCAATAGCTGGAAAGCCTCTTCTCCAGCCCTCTGGAGTCTTTCCTCTCGTCTGTGCTTTGGGGCTTAACGAAGGGAAGGGTCACATCAGGCTGGCTCTGTGCGCTTGTCCTGTGTGGGGCTGCTTGTCACTGGGGAGTTGCTGGGATCCTGGCAGATTGGCCCTGGCATGGGACCCTCCCCTGCTCCTAGGCAAAAACAATGCCGAAGAAGGGGTGGAGGCTTCAGAGAAGAGGAGGCATGGGCATCAGGTGTCTGTGGGTTATTCAAAGTCAAATTATATGCCTGACCTTCAAACTCCTAGGGGAGACACTATCATACTCTCTGGATCTCCAGGTGGAGGAAAATTCTACCTGCCCTCCCTTTGCTGATGCTTCCTTCAAGTTTTGTCCCAGATGTGGCTCAGAACTTCTGACCAGAGCTTCATGTCAGGCTAGGTCTCCCAGCTCCCTGTCTAGAATGAGGGCCTGAGGAGCTAGTGTCCTGGAAGGTCTTGGAAACATCTCCATAGGAGAGGTTCATCTCTCCTATGTCTGCCTTCACAGGTGCTGAGACAACCACACCATGAGAGGCACTCCAGGAAACCCTGCTGGTGGAGGAAGGGTCGTCTATCAGTCAAGTGAATCATGTGCTGTTGGGATGGGGCTCTGGGGGCTTAGACCCTCTGCACTCACGCTATCTCCTGTGGAAGCCCCAGCCTTCTCTCTCCTCTCTATGCACTGCCCTTCCCACCTGGTGCTGCTCACCTACCACTGGACCCTGGGCTTCTGGAGGGTGGGAGCTATTGCTTAGTCACTGCTCCAGCTCCAGTCCCCAGCATCGGACCAAGCACAGAATAGGCACAAAAGAGGGTAGCTGGGCCTTGGCACACAGGTTCTGTGAGATGGCCCATTGCCCTCTGTCTTGATAGTTTGCCCTCTTAACCCAGTGACTTCCCTTGGTAGCCCTTGCCTTCCTCACCAGAGCTCACAACTTCACTAGAAAGAAAGGCTGGGCTGGTGGGTGATGTGAGTGTTGCCAGTTTGGGGATGAAAACTCCACACCTTCCTTACATAATGGCCTGGGTTAGATACTTTTCTCCTGGGTCTAGTAAAGCAGCCTTGATTATAATACTTCTTCATTTTTTTCTCTATCCCAAAATCAGTGCGTACACCTATTACTGGGACTATTAATGATTTGAATCAGCAAGTGTGGACCCTTCAGGGTCAGATCCTTGTGGCAGTTCCACGAAGTGACAGTGTGACCCCAGGTGAGTGGTCACCCTGTGTCTGCCCCACTGTTTGCTCTGCTGTGACTGGGAAGCTGGCACCAGCCTTTTGTAAAAGTGTGACTTTACAATGGGGCCTACCTAGAGTGGGGAGAATTTCACACCTAATAGGGAAGAGAAGTCAGGGAGAACTTTGTGTTCCACTAAGATGAAGAAGCCAGAGATGGTGGAGGAGCCTCTTAGGGAATAGGAAAGCTGCTTTCAGTCATCTGAAGCCCTGTCTTATGGAAGAGGAGTAGCTTGTTCTCATGACTTCAAAGTGTCCTAAAATGACTAAATGGGTGAATACCACAGAAAGCCAGGTTTCAGCATCACATTGGGAAAAACTTGCAAAAAGGACAGAGCTCTCCAAGAATCAGAGGGGCTACTTGGTGTAGGAGCTCCCTATCTCCACGTGCTCAAGCAGAGGTGTGAGAATCTCAAGAGCATACTCTGCTGTCTGCTTAGCTCTCTGTGTTTGCTTATTTACTAGGGCACTGATTGGCACATGGTATGAATGAATGAATGAAAGAAGAATGAATATGGAGGTTGGCCATTTGGTGGGTCTAGTTGGGATTACACTCTTCGGCTCTCTTCCAGATCCACTTGAGGATACTGCCTTGCTAAATCAAATAATCTTTTCTGACTTCAAAAGAAAACTGATACCATCTCTCCTCTTATCTTTACAGTCACTGTCGCTGTTATCACATGCAAGTATCCAGAGGCTCTTGACCAAAGCAGAGGGGATCCCATTTATTTGGGAATCCGGAATCCAGAAATGTGTTTGTGTTGTGAGGAGGTTGGAGGACAGCCCACGTTGCAGCTAAAAGTGAGTAACTAAGAAAATATTTAAAAAGCCTTTTCTTTTAGAAGTGTTTGGTTGAATACCTAATTTTAGTATTAAAAAAGAAATAGTCTCATTTTCCTAAGCATATTTATTCCCAGCCTCTTTTAAGTTATGTGCATGCAATACACTTTTCTTTATATCCTGGCTGTCAGTAGTTGAGGTCCTCGTCTTGCCTTTTTTTTTTTTCAAGCCAAACTGTATCTAGCTTTATTAAATATACTTTCCATAAACAATCATAGTATTTCAGGCAGGATATGGGCAGACAGTCATTAACAGTATACAGTAACCTTCAAACTCCCGTCTTCAATGGACTACCAAAAATCAGAAAGCCACTATAAAACTCGATGAAGTCTTCATCTGATGCTCTGAACAGGGAACGTTTAGAGTGAGGGTTGACATTTCACATTTAGCATGTTGTTTAACAACTTTTCATGAGCCAACCCTGACTTTCAGGAAGTGAAATGAAAATGGTTGCCTTTATCTGAAGATCCACAATCTAGAAACAGAACCACTGCTCTTTTGACAGGTGCCATCTCAGCGGCATCACTGGAAAGTCCAGAGTGCCTGACACACTGGTAACCAATGATTGAGGGTCAGGTCCTAACAGATGTCTGGGCTTAAGGGAGTTAAATCTATGCTGAAAGATGGAAAGGGAGAAGAGGACATAAAAACGAATTTGTTTTCTATACCACAAGGCTTTTGTGCCAAGGTGGCCGTGTGTGTCAAAGTCAGGGAATCCCTCCTCCTGGGAGCCAAGAGGAACTCTCTCAAAACTAGAAGGGAAAAGCGTCTTCCCCACATCGATCCAGCTTTGGAGACATTCTATTAGTGACATATGCCCCTTCCCCCCAAAACTACAATGAAGTGTTCTGTGTGCTAACAGCATAGCTTAAAAAAAAGTAAAACAAAAAGCTGCATTTCTATAAAACTTGATAAAAAATAGTATTTCAAACTGTACAGTCACCAGAAGTACACAGTTATCCAAAATGCACACACTACGCTTGGCATCTGCAGCAGCTTCAGCTTTCTGTGCCTGCCCTGTTTTGGCGTCTCCATTTTCTGCAGGGTTATTCCCCTCCTTGCCAGCATCAGCTTTTCCCTTTTTCCCTTTGGGTACCTTCTCTCCCTTCTTTGCAGGGGCATTTTTAGGCTTGGGCTCTGGATTTGGAGGAGCAGGTTTAGCAGACAACTTTGCGGATCCTCTCTGTGGTTCATCCTTCACCTTGGCTTACCTCCTTTAGCATCCCCTTCAGCCTTTCTCTTGGGCATGGTGGCAGTGACCCTGAGGGGATGTAGGAACTGGGTGCGGGATGCAGCGGTGTGCGGGTTTTGGTCAGTCTGGGGGCCGTTCTCGCCTTTTCTTCACACTGCTCCGTCTTTCTTAACCTTTGATATATTCTTGGCCATCATTTCTTCGAGTATATTCTCACCCTTATTTTCCTTTTGGAATTCCTATTCATCCATCATTGAAAGTTATGGATCTCACTTCAGTATCTCACGATATCTCATCTAATTTTTTATACTTTCTATCCCTTCATTGCTTTTTAAAATTTTGGTGTTGCATCTGGAAGAATTTCTTGCTTTGCTCTGCCAGCTCATGGTTACATTTTCAGTGTTGTCCCTTCTGGAAATCATCCTTTTATAGCCTTTCCTGAAATTTCAATCTTTACTGTTTCATTCCCAAGCTCTCTGGTTTGTTCTTCTTCTATTTTTTTTAATGACTGTTTGTCCTTGTTCCACAAACTTCAGTTTAATTCAATTTGATTCAACTCAAGCCAATTCAATTAAGCACATGAACAGGCACTTCCTGGCCTCCAGCACTGCGTAGATGCTTGAGATACAGCTGTGCACAGAATGCAAAGAACCCTGACCACATGGGGCTTGGATTCTAGTGAAAGGAGAGAAATGGCAAGCAATAAATGTAATAGTAGCTAAATTTGTGCTATGTTAGAGGTCTTTACCTCTCCTAGAAAAATAAAAATGGTTAAAGCAGGATAGATAGACCAGCAGTACCAGGAACACAGGCAGGGTCAGGATGCAGTGGTGAATAGTGCAATAGGCATCATTGCCTAGGTGAGATGTTAGCAGGGAGTAGAAAGAGCTAGAGAAGTTAGTCAGCAGCTGTCTAGTAAGGGCACGTCCCAGGACCAGTGAGGACAGGTGTGCAGGCGTGAACCGAGGAATGAGTCCAGAGAGACAAAGGCAGACATGAAAGGCTTGTCCTTTTCAAGGACTCAGCCTTGCAATCTGAGTGAAATGGGAAATACCAGAATGTTTTGAACAGAGGAATGGTGTGAAGGGGCTTAGGTCTATAAAGGATCTCTCTGGATGCTTATTGATCTTAGACTGTGGCGGGAAAAGGTGAAAGTCCTTCGGGAGACTATGAGGTGATCTAGGTATGATTTGATGGGCCAGGACATAGCAGCAGAGGTGGGGAGAAGTGAGTCAGATTCTGGTAGTATTTTAAGTGGAGGAAACAGGACTGTGAGTGTGATCAATAAGGTCAGGACTGAGAAGGACATTTTCTACTTTGTCCTATCAGCTAAGTCACCCTTATGTTGTGCCTTTGTTCTCAGATGGGGACTAAGAATTGACCATTGCGTTTGGCAATGTGTAGGTCTTTGGGAACCTTGGCAGGAGCAGTGTTGGTGCTGTAGTGGGGGCACAAGCCTGGATGGAGTAAGTTTAAAGAGAGAAATTACAAGAAAGAAATCAGAGACAGCAGATATAGACAGCAATTGCAAGAAGTCTTCTGCAAAGGGGAACTGGCGGTGGTGGTGGGTAAGCAAAGCAGTTAATTTGTTTAAGATGGTAGAAATGACATCATATATGCTGATGGAAATGACTAAGAAGAGCAAGCAAAATTAATGGAGCACAAGAGAGCAGGGAGAACGGCTAGAGGGATGTCCTTAAGTTGCAAGTGCAGATGGGACCTTTCACCCAGTACTCCTAAAGCGGGGAGGTGCAGATGTGGGTGCCACGTGCCGGGAGCCCATGTTATGGGGTGGTTTGTACAAGTCTTCTTCTAATTACTTCAGTTTTCTCAGTGGGTAGGAAGTTGAAGGTGATGATGGAGGAGGTATGGGAGTTTCAAAGGAGAAAGCATTCTTCCATTTATTAAACAGCAAATCTCTGTTGAGTAGAATGCTGGGGGCTTTCCTCTGCGTTGAGGAATACAGTGATGAACAAGTCTAACAATCATTCTGGGATTGATAAATAAATATGCTAAGTTTAGATAGCAGTTGGTGCTAGTGAAGAAAATAATGCAGGAATGTGATCGCAATGAGTGGGAGTGGGGGATTCCAAACCGATTTTGGCTGGGATGGAATGTCCAATGAAGCTCTCCCCAAGGAGGAGACCCAGGTATTGGGGAGAAGCCAGTCATGGGAAGATGAGGGGCTGGTGTGAGGTGCAGGGAGAGTAAGTGCCAGGACCCTGGCTGGGAACAGCTTGGTGTCTTGGAAGGCAAAGAAGAAGACAGGTGTTGTGGGGGCAGAATGAGCATGCAGGAGAGTGGTAAGAGGGCAGGGCAGCAGGTAGGCAGGAGCTGGGTGGCGTAGACCCTGTGGGCTTTGCTGAGGAGTTTCACTGTAATAACAATAGAAAATCATGCAAAAGGGTATCATAACCTTATTTATTCACTTCAGTTTAAAGTTCACTTACCTGCCTTGTGGAGAATGATTATTAGAGAACGGAGTAGGTTCAAGGAGAACATTTAAAAGGTCACCCTAATTGTCCAGGTGAGAGAATGATGGCTGGGATTGGGGTTAACGTTGTATGTGGAGTGCAAGAAGTGACTCTATTCAGGAAATATTTTGGTATTTTGGAAATAGAGTCCACAGGCCTTGCTCCTGGATTAGATGTTAGGGGACGGGGGAAAAAAAAAGACATGTCAAGAATGACTCCTAGGTTTCTGGTCACTCAAAGAATCAGATTAACTGGAAGCCATTAATTGAGTAAATTAATGGCTCAATTTATGAGCCATTAATTGGGAGAATTACTATTCTCCCTATGGGAGAAGAACTTCCCACTCAGAGTGGAATGTAGCTGAATTACAGATAATTTCTGTGTCTTTCTTGAGATCTTGAACACATGCAATTTACTTAGAAATACTTATTTTGCCTAAATATACAATGCACATACATACAAATATACAGACATATAGAATATAGTTCCATATACAATACAGAAGGCATTTTCTGATTGCTCTATTTACTTTCTTTGTTTGATACAAATCCTTTGATTTCTTAGACCCTCTTGTGTCTTTATCATTGATATTTATCTTTCTCATGTATTTGGCAATTAGTCAGAAATTCATACCCTAACCTGGCTGTCCTTTGTCATACCAGTGGTTCTTGCAGGGTAGTGGCTCTCACTGTTGTGGTATTGGTAAGGGAGGTAATTTCCAGTTTCTTCCTTTTCCTAAGGGTCCCCTCAGCCTCTTGTGTGAGAAGAGTTCTCACTTGCTGTTCAAGTGTGGCTGCTTGTTCATTAAACTCTCCCTTGTAAACTTCCTACACCATCTCTAGATTTGAGGGTGGGGGCCTGGAAGGTAAAATTTCATGTATGTTTACCCTGCTGCTCCTTCAAAATGTGTGTTTCTCCAGGCCTGCTCTAATAGATGGATAACATTTTCTGGAACATTGGAACACCTATTGAATTATTATGAATAACCTTGAATATCTCAAACAGCTTTTGTTTCTCCTCATGGGTACTTGTTCTCACATTTCAGGAGCAGAAGATCATGGATTTGTATGGCCAGCCCGAGCCTGTGAAACCCTTCCTTTTCTACCGTGTCAAGACCGGTAGGACCTCCACCCTTGAGTCTGTGGCCTTCCCAAACTGGTTCATTGCCTCTTCCACGAGAGACCAGCCCATCATCCTGACTTCAGAACTTGGGAAGTCATACAACACTGCCTTTGAATTAAATATAAAATAACTGAACTCAGCCTAGAGGTGGCAAGCTCGTCTTTGTCTTAAAGTTTCCGGTTCCCAGTGTGTTTTCGTCTACATTTTCTTAGTGTCATTTTCACACTGGTGCTGAGATGGGAGCAAGGCTGTTGTTATCATCTCATTTTATAAAGAAGAAGAAGCAATTACTTCATAGCAACTGAAGAATAGGATGTGGGCTCAGAAGCAGGAGAGCTGGGTGGTGTAAGGCTCTCCTCTCAGGCTGATGCCGTGTAGGCCACAAGACAACCGCATGAGTGACTTTAAGACTCAAAGACCAAACACTGAGCTTTCTCCTAGGGGTGGGTAGGAAGATGCTTCAGAACTCCTGTGTCTTACCCACGATGGCATGACTAGCATGGAGCTGATCTCTGTTTCTGTTTTGCTTTATTTCCTTTTGGGATGATATCATCCATAATCTTTATATGTTGCCAGTATACCTCATTGTGTGTAATAGAACCTTTTTAGCATTAAGACCTTGTAAACAAAAATAATTCTTGTGTTAAATCATTTTTGTCCTAATTGTAATGTGTGATCTCAAAGTTAAATAAATTTTGTATATTTATATAATAATAAAGCTAAAACTGATATAAAATAAAGAGTATACTGAAATTAGCAAGAGTAGTTGAATAAAGCCATCGCAGTGGGTAAGCCTGGGACTGGGGCTTAGCTGGGGACAAACGGGCCTTCGTTGCTGGATAGTGATGATGTTGGGGGTGAGAAATTCAGTATGTAACAGGGCTCCGCTGTTTGGCTCCTTTCTTTATGGTCGAATAGCCTTGGTTTTCCCTGCTTCCTCTAGTCTTTTCCTTTTAGAGCACCTCACCATTCACATACCTTTTTCAAAAACTTCAGTAAAGGTGTCTTTTTTTTTCTTCTTGGAAGAGAAAGCCTTGCTTTCCCAACAGCCACCTTTAGAAGATATATTCTGACAAAATTAAATAACTGACTGATATAGTTTGTATGTTTGTCCTCATCCAAATCTCATGTTGAAATGTAATCCCCAGTGTTGGAGGTGGAGCCTGGTGGGAGGTGTTTGGGTCACGGGGGTGGATCACTTGTGGCTTGATGCTTTCCTCACCATAGTTAGTGGGTTCTCACAAGATCTGGTTGTTTAAAAGTGTGTGGTACCTCCACCCTCACTCTCTGTGTTGCTCCCGCTTTTGCCATGTGACATACCTGCTCCCTCTTCACCCTCTGCCGTGATTGGAAGCTTCCTGAGGCCTCCCTAGAAGCCAAGCAGATACCAATTCCAAGCTTCGTGTAAAGCCCGCAGAACAGAACTGTGAGCTAATTAAAACTCTTTTCTTAATAAATTACCCAGTCTTGGGTATTTCTGTATAGCAATATAAGAACAACCTAACACACTGACTGTGGGTATACTTGTAGAAATATATACCTCAGATCTGATTCTGTATATAATAGATTTCTTTATTTTTACTCTAACACTGAAAATGCAGAGCATTCTGTTTGCTTAAGTACATTCTTCAAAATTGCATAGCAACTTATTTATTTTTCTACTTTTGGACAGTCAGACTGCATCCACGACTAACAATTACAGTAAGCAATCGGCAAGCATGGATTTAATGTGATATTTCTTTATTCTTTAACTTTTTCTTTTTGGGTGGTTAATTATTTTTAATTAAAAATTTAAAAATAATTTTTAAAGCTCAATTTTTATGTATCTTTTTAAATGTAAATTTTAAACATACACGGATAACAGTGTATGTTTTTATTGGGTACCACATGATGTTTTGAAGTACATATACATTTGTGGAATGGTTAAATCTAGCTAATTAACAAATGTATTACCTCACATGGTTATCCTTTTTTGTGGTGAGAGCACATAACATCCACTCTCTACATTTTTTGAGAGAATATATCATCATTTACTATAGCCTCCTTGCTGTACAATAGGTCTCTTGAAATGTATTTCTCCTACATAACTGTAATTATGTAGACCTTGGCTAACATCCCCCCGTCCCTCTTCCTGCCCAACTATACCAGCCTCTGGTAACTACCATCTTACTCTCTACCTCTATGAGATCAACTTTTTTTTTTTTTAATTTCACATATGAGTGAGATCATGTGGTATTTGTCTTTCTGTGCCTAGCTTGTTTCATTTAGCATAATGTTCTCCAGGTTCATCCATGTCGTCACAAATGGTGGGATTTCAATCCCTTCCTGTGGCTAAATAGTATTCCATTATGTGTATGTACCACATTTTCTTTATCTTTTATCTACTCATCTGTTGATGGACACTTAGGTGAACTCAATATCTTGGCTATTGTGAATGGTCCTACAAAAAACATGGGAGTGCAGATATCTCTTTGACATAAGGATTTGAATTCCTTTGCATAGTGTGATTACTGGATCATATAGTAGTTCTATTTTTAATTTTCTGAGCTTCTATAATGTTTTTCAGAGTGGCTGCACTAATTTAAAATGCTCCCCAAGGGTATATAAGAGCTTCCTTTTCTCCACATCCTTGACAGCACTTATCTTTAGTCTTTTTGATAATGGCCATTCTAACTAGGGGGAAGTGATATGCCATGGAGATTTTGATTTGCACTTCTTTGATTAGGAATATTGAGCATTTTTCATATACATATTGGTCATTTGTGTGTTTTTTTCTGTGAAATGTCTATTCAGGTATTTTGACTATTTTTCAAACAGGTTATTTATTATTATTATTACAACTGAGTTGTTTAAGTTCGCTATGTATTTTTGATATTTACCCCTTGCCAGATGTATAGTTTGCAAATATTTTCTCCCATTCTGTAAGTTATCTCTTCACTCTGTTGATTGTTTCCTTTTCTGTACAGAAGCTCTCTCATTTGATATAATCACACTTGTTTATTTCTGATTTTGTTTTTTGCCTGTGATTTTGAGGTCTTATCCAAAAAATCCTTGCCCAGACAATGTTTCTTCTATGTTTTCTTCTAGTAGTTTGATAGTTTCAAGTCTTACGTTTAAGTATTTAATCCATTTTAAGTTAATTTGTGTATTTGGCAAGAGGTAAGAGTCTAATTTCATTCTTCTGCATGTGGACATCCAATTTTTTCAACATCATTTATTTATTATTTTTTGATAATAATAATGACAATTATAGCATTTACTATAATGACTTTTAATACTCTAAGGTGCATGTGTGTGTGTGTGTCTTAATATTTTACAAATTGTCACAAAGGCACTCTAACCCCATAGAAGATGCAGTATTTTTTAGTGTAAAGCAATTATTATAGTCTCGACAAAAATCATTTAAAATTCTGTCACAAAGCAAATTAATTTTCTATTTCATGAATTAAAAATTACAAGAGACTTACAAAAAACTTTATTTGTTTTAAATCATGTTTCCCTTCTTTTTTGGGGACAAAACAATATCTACTTTGATTAGGTAAATCTTCCTCAGACTTTGATGTTATATTATAGCATATGTCATAATCTTGCCCACTACATTTAGAGATCCTTTCTTTAATTAAGTATGTAATAATGCCCATACCTTTATTAACTCTCTTTAGCAGCATTAGTTATGATGATGCTAAAGTTTTTCATATTTCATTTTTTCTCAATGTCATTTCATCAAACCGTTAAGACTTATGGTTAAAATATAATAAATATATAATAGAGGCATATATTTATTTAACACAAAGCTTGTTCACAATGGTGGGAGCCATGACTAATTCATCAGTGTCCCCAGTGCCTTGGCAGTAGGTCTTCACCATTAAATCTCATGTCATAGAATTACTTGATCACTTGCTTTAAAAAGTGTCATTTGCTTAATAATTTGCTTAGAGTAGTGTTTGCTATTAGTGTATAAAAATGCTACTGCTTTTTGAGCAAAGACTTGGGACCAACCCAAATGCCCATAATGATAGACTAGATAAAGAAAATGTGGCACATATACACCATGGAATACTATGCAGCCATAAAAAGAATCAGTTCATGTCCTTTGCAGGGACATGGATGAAGCTGGAAACCATCATTCTCACAAACTAACACAGAACAGAGAAGCAAACAGCGCATGTTCTCACTCATAAGTGGGAGCTGAACAATGAGAACACATGGAAATGGGGAGGGGAATATCACACACTGGAGCCTGTCAGGGGACGGGGGGTAAAGGGAGGGAGAGCACTAGGACAAATACCGAATGTGGGGCTTAAAACTAGATGATGGGTTGACAGGTGTGGCAAACCACCATGGCACATGTGTGTAACAAACTTGCACGTTCTGCACGTGTATCCCAGAACTTAAAGTTGAAAAAAAAAAAGCTACTGTTTTTTGAATGTTCATTTTGTAACCTTTAACTTTATTGAATTAGTTTATTAGATCCAACAGCTTTTTGTTCATGTTTAAGATTTTTAATATATAAGAGCGCGTCAAAAGCGAACATGGACAATTTAACTTTCTCCTTTTCAATTTGGATGCCCTTTATTTCTTTCTTTTGCCTGACTTGCTCTGGCTAGGCCTTCCAGTACTATGTTGAATAGAAGTGGTGAAAGTGGGCATTCTTTTTTTCTTCCAAATCTTAGAATAAAAGCTTCAAACTTTTCCCCATTCAGTATGATGTTAGCTGTGGGTTTGTTGTACATGGCCTTTATTATGTTCAGATACATTCCTTCTATACCTAATCCATTGAGAGTTTTTATCATGAAGAGATGTTGAATTTTGTCAAATGTTTTTTCTGCATCTTTTGAAATGATTATATGTTTTCCATTCATTTTGTTAACATGGTATATTAGATTTATTGATTTGTGTGTATTGAACCATCCTTGCATACCTGGGATGATTGGCTGTTGTGAATAACCTTTTTAATGTGCTGTTGAGTTTGGTTTGCTAGTAGTTTGTTAAGGAATTTTGCATCTATGTTCATTAGGGATATTGGTCTGTAGTTTTCTTTTTTGGTTGTGTTCATGTCTGGTTTTGGCATTGGGATGATGCTGGCCTTATGGAATGTGTTTGGAAGAATTCCATTCTCTTCAACTTTGTGAAATAGTTTGAAAAGGCTTGGTGTTAGTTCTTCACTAAATGTTTGATAGAATTAAGGAATGAAGCCATCAGGCCCTGAGATTGTCTTTGATGGGAGACTTTTAAACTACTGATTCAATCTCCTTTCCTATTCGTCTGTTCAGGCTTCTTATTTCTTCATATTTCAATAGTGGTAGGTTTTAAGTGTCCAAGAATTTATTTCTTCAAGGTTTTCCAATTTGTCGGCATATAATTGTTCATAATAGTCTCTATGATTCTTTGTATTTCAGTGGTATCAGCTGTAACATCTCCCTTTTCATCTCTGATTTTATTTATTTGAATATTCTCTTTTTTTTCTTAGTCTAGCTTACAGTTTGTTTATTTTATTTATCTTTTTTAAAAATCAGCTCTTCATTTTGTTGATCTTTTTTTAGTCTCTATTTTGTTGATTTATGCTCTGATTTTCATTATATTTTTCTTCTACTAATTTTAGGTTTAGTTTGTTCTTGTTTTTCTATTTCCTTGAGATGCAACATTATGTTGTTTATTTGAGGTCTTTCTTTTTAAATGTAGGCGTTTATCACTATAAACATTCCTCTTAGGACTGCTAATGCTGTATTCAATAAGTTTT